GTCACCCAGGCTGGAGTGCAGTGGTGCGATTGTGGGTTACTGCAACCTCTGCTTCCTGGGTTTAAATGATTCTCCTGCCTCAGCCTCCTGAGTAGCTGGGATTACAGGCATGTGCCACCACACCTGGTGAATTTTGTCTTTTTTCATAGAGACAGGATTTCACCATGTTGGTCAGGCTGGTCTTGAACTCCTGACCTCAGGTGATCCACCCACCTCGGCCTCCCAAAGTGCTGGGATTACAGGTGTGAGCCACCGCTCCCAGTCCCCCTGCCTTTAAGCTGCAGATGTTTTCCAAGTGTCTGCATGTGTCAGGCCCTTCTCTGGGCAAAATAGAAAATGAACACTGTCCAGGCTTGACGGAGCTTAGAGCCTGGAGAGCAGGGCGTTGGAGAAATCCCTCAATATTTTACAGTTGCCAGTGTCTGTTTCCTGGGACTGCTACAACAGATGACCACGAAAGGGAGGGCTTCAAACACTGGAAACGTATTTTCTCCCAGTTCTGGAGGGCAGGAGTCTGACATAAAGGTGTCAGCAGGGCCTCATTCCCTCCAAAAGCTCTTCCAGCTCCCAGAGGCTCCAGGGGCTCCTCACCTTGATGGCCGTGTGACCCAATCTCTGCCTCCCTCTCTCCTGTCTCTACAAGGACACTCCTCATTGGGTTGAGGGCCCATGTGGATGATCCAAGATGACCCCACCTCAAGCTCCTTAATGATACGGGCAAAACCTATTTTCACTTAATTACCTTTTCCTTGTCAACATCTGCAAAAACTGTTTCCAACAAGCCACATTCACAGGCTCTAGGGATTAGATGTGGAACGAACTAATTGTGATGGATTCAGACAGTGGACTGTTAGCAAAAGGCGCCAGCCGCCTGTGTGCACAATGTGGATCCATCTCGCATGCGCGGCGGAGCAGGGGGAGCCGGGGATGTTACAAAGGTGGGAAACACTAGACAAGTGGTTCGTGCTGGGGATGGATGGAGACAGAAAGGGGACCCGTGGGACCGTCCAGGGTGAGGGTAGGGTTTGGCTGGCACATGTGCATTGCCGAACATCTTCCAGCAATACACTGAAGCTTTTGTGCATTTTACATGTAAATTTTTGCCCCGTAAGAGAAAAGGTCTATGAACAAACGAACATCAAGCTCTAATGGATGGGAGGCACGCCAGACTATTCCAGAGGATGCACATGGGTATCTGCGACTTGCTTCAAAGTGCAGTCCCTTAAGATGCACCAATGTCTGCACAGAGGCATGGGTGGCAGGGTGGAGAAGCAGTGAAGCAAGCACAGCGATGTGCCTTGAGGGAGTCGGGTGGCTGCCCACAGGGGACATTCACTGTAGAATTCTTTCAACTTTCCTGTATGTCTGCAGTTTTTTTTTTTTTTTTTTTTTTTTTT